CCAAAGTATTGAACTGAACCAAGATGTGAACCGAACTGAACATAGGGTTTGTACACTATAAAAAACCTTGAATTTTACCCACAAATTTGTAACTAACGGCGAGCGGCAGCAGATTGAACTAGAGCCATGGACCTACGAATTATCGGAATGGGCACGGGTGACGGCGAAATAAATGCAGACGGTGGGAAAACAAAGGTGTGACAAATCTCAACGTTCTCCGAGCGACAACCTTTGGATATGTGACCCTCTGAACCACAAGGATCCTTCAAGCCAACGACTAGTGAGATAGAAAACGTCGTCACCTTCAACTTCAGATCTATGAATGGCAGCGATGACTCCAAATCCACGAAGGACGAAGGGGGATAGAAGGACAATCAACCTATGTATTGACAACCAGCACGAAGGAACCATCCTGAAATAGGATGCGCTGGCTTGAGTTTAGACGGTGAAGTAGTAGTAGCTGAGTTTGTTGGACTAGGGTGTCGCAATGTCATTGCGACGCAGAGCGACCGACGTCATTCCGTAAAGGGTCTCTTTCAAGATATGGGTTTGGAGTCGCCACCAACCAACTATGAGGTGTGATTGATCACCTAAAAAAATGGTCTACGAAAACAAATTTTGGTTTGGGAGTCATTTGAGTGTAGGGAAGGTGTTAGCACCCTACAACAACCGTTCGGAAATGGTTACCATATTTTATCTTAAATTTCCCATTAATTTATTGGTCCAAAAAAATGATTTCTTATTTTATTTTAAATATCTCATATTTTTATTAATTCACATTTTGCTATAAAATATGAACTAACAATTATGACTGGCACGAAGGCCATTAGAAAAAATTGTCACCTCTAAGAATATTGGAAAGTTATCTCTCCAACCTCTGTCATTGGAGTTTTGCAAAAGATTTTATTATATTTTGTTTATTTATTAATTTTAAAACAAAGTAAATTTGAAAACTTTATTTTATTTGTCTTGAAAATTTTAAAAATGTTTCTTGCATTTTGAAAATCATTTATTTTAATTAAAATTCGTTTTAAATTTATCCTTCTCTAAAATGTTTTTAACCTTATTTTTAAAATGATTTATCTCTTATTTTGAAAACCAATTTCCTTTGTGTCAACAATTTTATTCCTTTTTATGGCGAAGAAGGACATTAAAAATTAATTTGAGGATTTTCGTGCACTTGCAGAGGGGTCGTAACTCCACCAAACACATTATTCAACGCTCATTATAGAATTTGACATAATCAATTCAAAATTAATTTTCACATCAAATCCTTAATTTTGTCAAAAAAAAAAAAACAGTACTAACATAAGTATCAAAATTATTTAATTTTCGCCCGAAAGCAACCAAAAAAACATTCAATTTTCAGCCTCAAAACATCGAAAACAATCTTGAAGATTGTAAAATTTTACACCGAAAGTAGGCCAAAAAAGTTCAATTTTCAACTCCAAAACAATCTCGAAAATTTTTAAATTTTACAGCAAAAACAGTCCAAAAAGTTCCAACTTTCATCCCAAAAACAGTCTCGAAAATTGTTAAATTTTACAGTAAAAAATCACATGCAAATCAACCTAAAATTCCTACCAAGATGTATGCGAAAAGGAAACAAAAGTTTTACCGACCTTACTCACCTATGGAGAGAATACCCACATAATGGAGGGAGATTTGTCAAAGGATACCAGAACAAAGGGTCTGAACGTCGGGGATTGGACTTTCGTAGGCTCTCACCGTCCGTCGCGTTCCACCGGATTGTGATGAGATATGAGAGGAGATAGATGATACGACTGATTTTAGAGGGAGGAAGAATTGGAGAATAGAGACGAGAGAGTGGGTTGTTGGCAAAAGAGAAGAAAGAAAGTGTGTTTTCTAAAAAGCAATTCTAGAAATAGGGTTTGAACATTTCCTTTTCCACAGTCGCTTTCACGTGGAATGAACCATCCTTTATATAGAGCCCAAAATAATCCATTCAAATTATATATTTTAATCTTTAATCGAAAACGTCCTTTTAATTCAAAAATCAAGTTGAAATCATATTTTTAAATTCCTCAAACCTTAACTGACAATCTACAAGACAATCAATATGAAATTCAGTTATACTTTAAAAAACCTTAATCAATTTGAATTTCAAACTTCAAATCTCGTATTTTTAATATTTCCTTATTTTAAAACTGTTTTCGGTGTATTTCAAAATTTGAAAATCACATGGCTTTATCCGAAAATCAAATTGAAATTCAAATTTCAAATCCCATGATTATTCCATAATATTTTATTTTATTTATATTTTCTACCTTCTGATAACTCCGAACTAAGTAGGTTCTGATACGTATCCATCCTAATTTTGACCACCAACAATGATCAATTAAAAATGAACAAAAGGAAATTAAAATTTTGAATTTCAAATCCCATGATTATTCCATAATATTTTATTTTATTTATATTTTCTACCTTCTGATAACTCCGAATTAAGTAGGTTCTGATACGTATCCATCCTAATTTTGACCACCAACAATGATCAATTAAAAATGAACAAAAGGAAATTAAAATTTTCTATCTTTAAACCTCTTTTAATGCTACTAGTTTGTGTGATATTGACTATTTGTGTGATATTGACATGTTTTTTCAAATTAAAAAGAGGTATTTACATTGTACATTTTTTCAAATATATTGTAATTAAAGAAAGATTAACCATTATAATTAATTAATTATCAGTACTAAAATATCTATATAAAATTAATACATTATTTGATTTTGCATTAATTTTTTATGTATTACTCGTATGTACTTAATACTAATTAACCAACCTTGGGATGAATGGAACTGGATTTTGGATATCATGAACACCCTTCAGTTTGCTTCTCTTTCATTTCATCATACTCCTCGTTCTTGTCGGCTCACTCTTTAGCTAAATTTTACTTTACTGATTTGATTACTCACAGTTGGGTCTCCAATTTTCCTAGGTGGCTTTCACATCTTACTCAGGGTTCTTCCCTTTCAAATGTAGCCCTCGTGGCAGATTCTTATCAATAAATTGATTTCTTCMAAAAAAAGTATATATATTAATTAATCAATTATGTAATTATTTACAASTATTGTTGTTCACACGAGATTTCCAGAGAAATTATCTTTCTTGGAGTTGAACTTTTATATTTGTAGTATGTGTTGTATAGTGGATTCAATCTCTAATCTTTATCTTCTGATTTTTTCTCTCGAATTTGATGTGAAGATTGAGATGCTTGTTCTTGAATTTGAATCGAAGTTATATGTTCTTCAAAAGTTTTCAAGCCCTCAAGTATTCAAAGTCTTTAAGTTGGTCTTCGAATCTTCAAGTTTTTAGAGAGTATTCAATTTGRTGTGAATTCTCTCAATTCTGAAATTCTGAACCYCAAATGAATCAGGTCCCCTCTATTTAGAGAGGTTTCATAGGCTTTGGTGGGCTATTGGGCTTRGATAATTTTGGGCCAAGCCCAATTCTTTAAATGGATTAATTTATTTAAATTTAAATATTAATCCACTTTGGTAAATTGGGTTTTGGGCAACCAAATCGCCTCATACTCATATGACCCAATTATATATTTTAATTATCAAATTATCTTTAATTTTAATTTAGGGTTAATATATAATTAATCCCTAAATGACGTGGTCGTTTATGATTGGCTCAAATTTTTTGGTTCTACAATTGTAATAATTCAATATAATCTATGTCATCGATTCATATATGTGACCGACAAAAGTTAAAAGAAATTTATGTCAAGTTAAGTATAACTCAACTAGTAAGATATATATCATCGATAAAAAAGTCAAATGTTCGAATCTCACTTCCACGTGGCTAAACTCAAAAAAATTAAAAAATTAAAAAGAAAACAAAAATTCCCCACCACCAAAACATATATATAMTATAGATTATAGAATAGATGTGTGGTAAAGTTGGATTTTTAAATCATAGTAAAAATATATACGTAGTCTTGGATGGGTTTTAGACAAGTATTTTTATAAAAACCCTAATTTATTAGTTTAATAAAAGTATAATTTAGACTATAATTAATGAGCATGGTTCAACTTGTTAAAACATTATTAACTTCTCTATAAATCGAAGGTTCGTCAAATCTCCCTACCCGAGTTGAACTAAAAAAATATTACCTTTAGACCAATTACTATCAGAACAATTTTTGACAAAATGTAGAGCATGTTTGGGAGTTATTTTAGCATGGCTAGAATCACTTTCACTCGTATTATCACTACTATTTTAAAATGACATGTTTGGTAATAATTCTCAAGTGATTTTAGAAAATCCAAAATACTTGAATTGATTTGTGGTCAATGACTTGGAAGATTCCAAGTGATTTTTTTGGTGAAAAAAAAATATATATATAGGAAGCTATTTTTAAAATAGTTATTACTTTAAACTTTAAATTTATCTTTCTATTTCACCTCATTTTCACCTTAATTTCTAAAATTTTTGTCTCTTGGACTTTATTTATTTGTAATTTTGTTTATTCTCTAACTTTTTCTCTAAAATTGTTGTAATCTCTCTAAAATTTTAGTTCAACTTATTTATAAGTTTATTTTTCTATCTAAAATTTTTGTCTCTCACTCTCTAAAATTTATCTATCTAGGATTTTTGTTCCTCTCTAATTTTCTCTATTAAATTTTTGTCAAAATTCTATCTTTAGACTTCAAATATTAATAATTAAAAATCACTTTTAAATATATAAAAATCACTTGAAAATGTATGTAATCAAACATTAGAATAACTATATAAAAAATTACTTCCACAAAATCAATTATTACTGCATCTCTTCGGCCAAAATCACTAGTTCTAAATTCATTCCCTCGTGGTCTAACATCTAACATCAATGGTGGTGTATACTAAAATGTGGAGTAGGGAAACCATTCACTCATCTTATATAGGCCTCAAACACAACCATCAAAAGCTTAAAAACTAAAGTTATTATCCAACCAAAACAAATTTATATCTAAAATAACTTAAAAAAAAAGGAAATAAACTTTGATATGATTAATTATTATCATCATTTCCAATCAAAAAGGACCAACAACGACACGAAAAACATAAATAACCCTAGTAAACATGACCATACTTGCGTGTTTACTCGCCGACACCTATCTTTGTACTAACCACTCATACAAATTCAACGGCTTTTAAATTTTTCGAGAAATAGAAAAAATTTATTTTTCTTCATTCCTAAGTAGTAAGTAGCAGAAGATGTGTGCGGACTAATAAGTACATAATCGTATTTTCCCATTAAACATTCTCAAACCTCCTTCACATCAACAGCCACAATCCCTCCATTATTCTTCACCTGATCCTTCACTTCCTTCTCCTCCTTCTCCTCAGCCTCGAAGGCAGAGACTGGGTAGGATCGGGACAGCCCGGCCGGGATCTGGAAGGTGATATTCCCAGTCGGAAGGTCGTCGACGTAGATTTCGGACAACGTGAGCCAAACCAAAACCTCCTTGGCCTTGACCCCAGTGAGATTCTTGACCCTATTCTTCTCAACATTGGCTGTGACCTCCTTGGCGTAGGAGACCTGCTTCCCCACCTTGTGGAACTTGTGGGTTATGGCCTTCTTCTGCTTCATCCACACGAAACCAGTCTCCTTCACGTACCCACATTCTGTTATGTCCTTCAATGGCAGAAGCCCGTTCGGAAGCCCAACCTCTCTCAACAGAAGCTTCGTCTTCTCCTGCGAGATCTCGTCACCGTAGTAGATTTCGTCGGCCTTGGCCTTCATCTCTTCTGTGATGAGAGACATTGTTGATTGTAGGGTGTTAGAATATTTACTAGTGCCAGTTGCAGTGTGCTGCTAATCTGATTGCCTTTGGAAATGGACTAATATATATATGCATGTTTCGTTTTCTATTTGGGCTTGTGTTTCAACTAAATTACCCGAATGCCATTTTAGGGTTTTACAAAACAAACGTGTTAAAATCATTTATTCTTCGATTGGATGGGGTGAGGATCSAACTCACAACCTTTTTGTTGTAGATATATGTCAATTACCGCTGAACTATGCTCGTTTTGGCATTAACTAACAACAATTAACCATTTATTCCATGAAATTTTAATAACATTTTCATACACAATGATCAAACACACAGTTATACTTAATTCCTAGACCTCTTATTCCCATGCATCTTATTTTCAAGAATATTAAACTAAATCCGAACCAAACGTGTTTAAGATTCTGAGGCAACTAGGCAAGTATTAGTGACTATTGGGGGAAATTGGAAATATGGATGAAGGATAGGTGAGGATTCAATGTAATGGTTAAGGGAAAGCTATGGGATTGGGATTGAAGCCTTACAACTTTTATAGCTCTTGCTGGGTCCATAAATTTTATGTATGTTCCATAATAAATCTTTTAAATGAAACAGTCGGT